TGGCTTTGTTCCCCTCGGGGAGGTCAAGGGTCAGTGTTTCTCCTAGAGAGGCTTCATCCCTTCCGGCAGTCTGGGACCCTGATTGCTGCCAAGGTGTGGCAGGGCGGGAAAAGGCCCTGCCCTTCTTGAGCCGGCCTGTCTGTGCTTGGGAGGTGGAAAAGGAGGCAGGGAGGTGCTCAAAGACTGTGTTCCCCAAAGGTGAGACCCCAGCTGGTGCTTCTTCCCTCCCTACATGGGCCCAGCACCCGAAGGTAGGTCAGAAGCCAATGTACAAGGAGGGGCTGGGTCTGGGCGGTGGGATCTGACAGGGTTATCTGGTGGGCACCAAGCCTTGGTGAACAGACCCACTCCTCCATGCCAGCCTGGATGGGCACCAGGAGCCTTGTGCTTTGTTGTCAAGACCGTGCTGGAGGCGAGGCCAAGGCATTGTGAGCCCCAGGGGGCAGCGCTCTCATGGATAATGCAGCAGTGCCTGGCTGCATGTGCCGTGGGGGTGAAGTGTGGGTAGAAAAGGCCATTGAGCTCCAAGGCAGGAAGAATGGCTTTGTGCCGTGCTGCTCAACAGAAATACAGCAGGCTCCACATGTGTGATTTTGTATCTTCAAGTGGCTGCCCCGAAAAGTATGAAAAGAGGGCTAGAGCTCGGTGGTACAACACTTGCCTGGCATGTGCAGGCCCATGGGTTTGATGCCCAGCAGTGGAAAAAAGCACAGGAAGAAACAGTTGAGATCAATTTTAACAAGATGTTTTGTCTAAACTAGATTATGGTGGTACGTGCCTGTGATCCCAGAATTCTGGGAGGCTGAGGCAGGAGATCACAAGTTTGAGCCCAGCTTGGGCAGCTTAGTGACTTAGACCATCGTGAAATTTAAAAAAAAAGTTTTTTTTAAAGGGGCTAGAGGTGTGGCTCAATACGAAGGCCCTGGGTTCAGTCCTAGTACCCCCTCATCATCTAACTCAGTCCATCCAAAATATAATTTTAATTTGTAATCAATAGGTAGCTACGAATGAGCAAGTGTGTATTCTGTCCTGTGTGCTAAGCCTCTGAAGCCTTGGGTGTGTTTGACACTCGAAGCACATTTCCTCCACGACTGGCTGCATTGCTGGCGCTGCGTAGCCACATGTGGCCAGTGGTTCCTGTCCTGGGCAGTGCGGTCCTGCAGTTAATCAGGACAGATCCGCCTCAGCTCTGGGGACAAATCCCCACCCCCATCTCCAGCCCGGGTGGCCTTAGCCTTTGCGCTTGTTCCGCTGGCTGAACCCCCTGCTTCCTGCTGCGGCTGCGGTCCCTGGGCTGCGATGGGAAGAGAGGTTTTGAGGTAGGAGCTGGAAGGCCATGAAGTTGGGGCAGAATGAAGGAGAGAAACCTTAAGACCCAAGTCTGGATGGAGGAGGCGACCCGGTGGCCCTCCCGGGCCACGGTGGGGACGAGGTGGCGCAGAGCCGCCAGGGATCAGAAGCCCACAGGCCCGCATTGTGCGCCTGTCACACTTCCTTTGGCTTTATTGCTTTTGTCCAACACCCCATTGTCTGGTTTCCTTTTGTCCCCCTCTCAGCGCTGCTGCCTTTTATTTTCCAGCCAGCCTGGTTGTTTTCATTTCTTTTGTCTGAAGTTCCTGAGAGGAAGGTTTTATTTTCAGCGGTTTGATTAATTCACAGCTTGAGCCCGGGGTTTGTTTGTTATGTAATTGCTGCCCTCAGCTTCAGGATAATACCCCCTCGCCCTCCCCACACCCACTCCTCACGCCCCCCTCCTGCCTCTCCTGCCTCCCCTGCCTCCCCTACCCAGGGCCTGGCTTCCAGCCCCTCCCAGTGCCCGGATGGGCTGAGCTGCCTGCTTCCTGGAAGCACTCTGTCCTGGGTGGTGGGCAGGGATCTCAGGGCAAGCTGGGCTGGGGTCTCCTTTTCCTCTAGGTGAGTTGGGGCTGACCCGCGCAGGCTCAGATAGACCCCTGTCTTCCCTCTCCATCCTGGGTCTGCCATCAGCCCTCAGGGAACCCTGCAATTTGAAAGTGGGTGGGCAGGAGAGTCTGGTATTGTCTGACCTGTAGGGTGAAATCCCATCAAATACACGCCTATATCTTAGGCAGTTATAGTGCCCTTTTATGCTCGGTTGTATTTGGCACCACAGCACTGCATGATTCATTATAGTGTTTCATTACAAAAACAATTTTACAGACTTCATACAGTCTATACAGAATTGACGTCCTATACAAATATAGTTGCTCCTCCCCCCTGATGTCCAAAGTTTCAGTTACCAGAAATAAAAAATGCTAATAAGATTTATTTATTTATTTATGGGTACCAGGGATCAAACTCAGGACCTTGTGCTTACGCGCCGCTGAGTCATAAGTTTTAAATTCCACTTTGTGCCAATAGTGTGACGAAACCTCGGTCTGATTGTGAATAATCCCTTTGTCCAGTGTATCCACGTTGTATAGACTACCTGCTCCGTATTCATTTAGGAGCCATCTACTTCCCAGAGTGACTGTTGTACTTCTGAGCCCATGTTCAAAGGACTGTGGTTTAGGGGCTGGGGATTTAGCTCAGCGGCAAAAGCGCCTGCCTGGCAAGCGCAAGGTCGTGAGTTCAGTTCCCGGTACCGGAGAAAAACCAAAAA